TGCGTAGAAAGCATAATGTACCAATTCACCTTCATTATCTATTACATCATCTGATGTAATCACACAATCTTGAAATCTTTCAGGCATGCGTCTTATTCTTTAAGGTCTGCTTGTACTTGGTTGATCTATAACTGTTGGTTCCTCTTGTTGAACTTCTCTTTCGACTTGAGTTTCTGGTTCTTCAAGTAGGATTCCCACTGAATATTTCTTGAAATTTTCAGTCCAATCCCATTCTTTAAGCTCATTTATGATCATGTCCCTATTGATCACAATCTGCTTGTTCACTGGATCGAATAACTTGTAACCTCCTGTCGAATGATATCCAACTAAAATCATTTGACTCGACTTGTCATTAAGTTTTCTTCTCAACTGATGTGGCACATCTCTATGTGAAATAGATCTAAATACCTTCAGATGACTCAAGCTAGGCTTCACACCAGACCAACATTCTCCTGGAGTAATTCCTTCTAGCTTCTTCGTAGGACATCTATTCAAAATGTATGTTACAGTCGGCATAACTTCACCCCAAAACTCTTTAGGTAAATTCTTGCCTTTCAACATACTTCTTACCATATCATGATGGTTCAATTCTTCCTTTATGAAGTTCCATTATGCTGTGGAGAATAGGGAGGCACTACCTCATGCATAATCCCTTCCTTTTCACATAACCTGTCGAAGTCTTTCGACACATACTCTCCACCACCATCAGTTCTCAAAACTTTGAGTTTTTGACCACTTTGTCTTTCGACCATAGACTTAAACTTGGAAAATACCTCTATCACTTCACTTTTCTTCTTGATCAAGTAAGTCCACAAATTTCGATTGAAATCATCTATAAATGTAACAAAGTATTTGTTACCTCCCATCGAATCCACCTGGATTGGTCCACATACATCAGAGTATATGACTTCAAGAATATCCTTCGACCTACTTCCCGCATCCTTGCTGAAGCTATTCTTGTGCTGCTTCGCCTGCACACATTCCTCACATACCTCGTTCTAAATGTCGATTTCTATAAATCCTAAAACCGTATTTCTTCTCTTCAAATCTATGATGTCTCTGAAGTTGATATGGCCTAGTCGATGTCATATCCATTCATCTCTGCTAGCTGCAGTCGAAAGGAACTTATGTTCCATCACATTTAGTTCGATCTTGAAGGTTTGATTATGAGACATGGGAGCCTTCAAGATTAATCTTCCATTTACATCGATGACTCTCATCATCTTATCTTTGATCGACACTTTATAATTCTTTTCAACCAACTGCCCTATACTGAGCAAATTTCTCTTCATGCCTGATATGTACAACACATTGAAAATTACTGACCTCTTGCCATCTTTCCTCATAATCATAACATCACCAATACCTTCAGCTGCTAGGGTATTGTCATTTCCAAATTTTACCATATTTTTCATTGAGGAATTTATGTTGACAAACCAATCTTTCCTTCCAGATATATATGATGAGCATCCTGAATCCAAGTACCATTGGTCCTTGAATCTATCTTCATCTCTTATTGTGACCATCAACATCATCTCTTCTTCTTCTTCTTCATGTTTTGCAAACTTTACACCACTTTCTTGATTCTTTCATTTTTCTGGACAATCACTCGAACAGTGACCATACTTCTGACAATTGTAACATTGAATGTGACTTTTGTCAGGTTTTCAACCACCACCTCTTCCTCTATTTGCAACACCACCTCTTTGGTTGCCTTGGTATGGTCTTCTCTGATTCAACATGTTTCCTTCGTTCTGGTTTCCTCTACCAGTCGATTTGTTATAGCCACATCTGCCTCTATCAAACCATATTCCATTGCCTTTGATTTCTTTTACTGAATGTGCCTGCAAAGCCACATCACTCTTCGATTTGCCTGCAGCTCTTTCAGTCATTCTTTGTTCATGAGATTCAAGCATCCCTTGAAGCTCCTCCTTTGTTAATTTCGACAAGTCTTTTCCCTCTTCTATAGCCACCACCACGCGGTCGAACTTAGGAGTCAAAGATCTCAAGATCTTCGAAACAACAACTCTTGTTATTAATGTTTCTCTACATACCTTGATTTGATTCACTAGTTTTGTAACCCTAGTGAAGAAATCAGATATGCTCTCGCTATCTTCTATCTGAAGCAATTCATACGTTCTCTTGTGAGTTTGTAACCTCACTTCTTTCACCTTTTCTGCACCACCAAAAGACTTCTCAAGTACATCTCAAGCTTCTTTTGCAGATTCTGAATCACTCACTTTTTCAAAATTTTCTGGACTCACACATTGATGAATTATAAATAGTGCTTTATAACTCAGCTTCTCAATTTTAGTGTGTTTCTTCTTTTCTTCTTATGAAGCGTTTTCTCCAAGCGCTTCGAATCCATCTTTTACAAGATCCCAAAGACCTTGACACCTGAAAAAAATTTCATCTGTTTGCACAAATTCTCATAGTTGTCTACTTTCAGAATTGGTAGAGTTGCTGAATAATTTGCATTCCCATAATTCGCCATTGTAAATTCTTTTTCTTCCTCAATCATTCTTGATCGATACTTCCCTTGAATCGAAACCGAGCTCTTGATACCAGATGTTGGAAATCCACCAAATATCTATTTCTACCAATCTTGATGAACAAGATTGATATCACCACTCAATGACAATGAATTATGAGAAAAGAAAAGAAAAGAAAAGAAAGAAGACAATTACTTTCTGTAGAGTTTCTCTCTGTCCACAAACTGTGGAAAACTTTATTAATCACTTGCAACTGCAAATTTTGTAATTACAATGAACTGACTTGATTATCTCTATTACAAAATTAGGGGTTACTCTCTCTATTTATAGATTTAGCTTGCTCCCTAAGCCCAAAACTATAAAAGCCCAAAATACCTATTTTGGTACTAAATCAAATATATTCTATTTTAGACTTAAATCAAATCTATCTAAATCTAAAACAAGTCAAATCTGTGTGTATAGCTTGCTTTGATCCACAAGCTCTTCAACTGAATAATAGCTTCCTTCGAGCAACCTGCTTCGATCCACCTCTAAACCCTTCGACACACATAGTTTTAATACTAAGAATTACAATTTAACAAAGAGCTTATGGAAATAAGTTGAAAACAACTTATATATATGTCTCAACACAAATTGTATTTTTAAGCTCAAATAAGCTATGAAAGAAGGCTTATGGAAATAAGTTAAAAATAGCTTATAGGCATGATCAATTCAGTGTCTGAAATTGTAGGGTTAGTCAATTTTCCGTCCTTTAGTTTGATACTTCTTCTTTTGTTAATGCTGTTATTGTAAATGTGAGTCAATACTTACACATTTTGCTTTTGATAGGATTGTTGGAGAAGGTACATTTCTATCAATTTTGGATTTTTAAAAAAAGTAAGCAGTTTGAATTGGCACAGAAGATATAAAATTGTAGTTTGCAATTCTATTAATTTTTTATTTGCTACAACTTCTGCTGATCTTTGTTACTTAATAAATGTTGTTAACTTTTTTGGTTGAAATGATGAAAAGTTGTTGGAACGATGGGAAAATACGCAAAGGAGGGAGGGAAGGATAAAGGAAAGCAGGTTACAAGTGGAAGTGATGAGAATTTTCTAAGGGAAAAGGAAAATGCGGGAAAGTAGCGGATTGTTGGAGAAGCCGAAACTTATATCGACTTTGTGCGATCCGTACAAACGTACATGTAATTAAACTTCAAGTTCCAAGACTATTAATACAAATGTGTAGGTTGAAAAACGGTGTTTAGATTGAAATATAGTCGCTTATGTTTAAAACGTGTCAATAATTCATGAAGTTAAAAGCTAAAATATGAAAATTGCTTAGCAGTGGCGCATAAATACAAAAGTGTAACACTATAAATAATTGATCTTTTAGTTATCATTTTACAAAAAAATTCAAAAGTTAAATTTGTTATTTAAGAGAGTCACAAAATCATATGTTTAAATTTTGAAACTTAATTGTGTTTAAATTTATTTTATATTAGATGATAAAATCATATAATATCAATAACATCCATAAATTTACAATACAGAAGAATTTAAAAATTATAGGCATGAGCAACGGGCTGAACTTATTTTTCCGACGGACCGACAAAATATTTACTTAAATTAAACAGATATTAAAAATCATATATTTAATGACTTCTGAATTACTATAGCATATAACTTCTAAATTACTACACAAATTTAACAAACATAATATTATTCGATTAATTAAATCTAATCAAATTATTATCAATTTTAATTTGTTATTAAATCAATATATTTTTTTTGGTTATATTATATTTTATAATGTTTGTTAATAAAAATTGCATTATAAAAATTATAAACAATTATAAAAATTATATGCATGTCTGACGGGACAAACCTTTTTTTCCACCATATATTTAATTTAATAGCAATTATCAAATTTATGTATATCCTGATAACTACTACAATTTAATAAATTAAATTATATTTGTATGACAATCATCATTGAAATCTTTTTTTTTATTAATTCACATATTTCTATTTAAATTTCTTAACTATAATTATATAATATTTATTAAATATTTATATCGATTTCTCGGACTCATGCCAACACAAATCCTTTACTAATAATAACAAATAAAAAACAACTCAACTTTATTCCAAATATAAAATACTACATAAATCAACTTTTTGTTATAATCTAGATAAATTTATTTTGAAGATATTCTAAAATGTTAAAAAGAAAAACACGTTTAAGTGTAGGCAAAATTACAAATAAAGTTTACATGTCATTTAGCATGCAGAATCAAGTTATTAGCATGCTTTAAAAAAATGACATGATATAACTAGCATTTATGTACGTGAAAGAGAAAGAGTTAGAAAAGGTGAAGAGAGATCAAAATCTAGTGTGATGCATCATATAGAGCTATTTAATCTAACGGTTAAAATTAGTGGTACATGATGAGGGAGTCCTCACCCTATAATTATTTGATTTTATTTAGTTATTTCTTGAACCGCTGATTTCATTTGAAGCAAAGCAATGGAAAATGGAATCGAAACCGAATCTGAAGAACAAGAACAATCAAACTCATCACAAGATCATCATCAGAAATGGATAACGTTACGCGTTTGAATTCATCAAAATCTGCATTTTCATAATAATTCAAACGTTTCAGTTTATGACTTAATCTATGTATCTTCCCTTTTTCAGCGAGCAAGATAATCTGAGGGAAAAACTAATCAGTGAGGATAATTTCACATGGAAATTACCAGCGGCACCGCGAATTGGTTCGCAAGAGTTGAGATTCGTTGGTGGCTTTGATATAAGCTTCTCAAAGGATGATCCATCAATGGCGTGTGGTACCCTTGTAGTGTTGGATTTTCGTACTCTTCAACTTGTTTATCAGGATTTCTCTTTTGTCACACTTCATGTCCCTTATGTGCCTGGCTTCCTTGCGTTTCGCGAGGTTCTGCTTTTCATTTTTTTAGTATGCACTTAATTTAAGGAGATTTCAATTTAACCTTTTATATTTCATTGCTCCTACAATTGTAGGCTCCAGTTCTTCTACATATTCTGGAGAAAATGAAAAGGAGTGATAATCCTTTCTACCCTCAGGTAATTGTTTTGTGCCAATCTTGTTGCTGTACTAAGAACTCAATCATGTAGAATTCCAACAGATTTTTAACTGTTTTTGGTTAGCTGATGTCTTCTTCATGTTCTTTACAGGTGTTAATGGTTGATGGAAATGGAATACTTCATCCACGAGGCAAGTACTCAATTTCCAATGTAAAAACTTCTTATCCTGAATAACTTTTCTGGGATGATTGTGGTCATTTTAGGTTCTTTACATATATTCATATCTGCCGTGACAAACAAATTCTTAACTTGCAACCTGTTTGACAAATTTTGGCCTGCTACGTTTAACTCTTTCAGGTTTTGGCCTGGCCTGTCATGTTGGAGTTATGGCCAATCTTCCAACAATTGGGATTGGAAAGAGTGTTAGTATTTATAGCTTCAGCTAAATTACTATTTCGCGATCTCTAGAGTCATGCCACATTTTTTGTTTTTCAAATAAAGACTCGTGTCATCTATATTGACCAGCCTTTATAAATCTTCTCATGCATCTCCATCAATTTAGAGATTTGATTCTATCTGGTATTTTTGTAGTTAAGAATCAAGTACTGAGTGTATATACACCTAACTTCTTTAACTTCATATGTTCCAGTTGCATCATGTGGACGGTCTCCATCACTCTAGAGTTCGAAAACTTCTTGAAGCCGAAGAAAACTCTTCTAAAGATTTTATTCCATTGGTTGGTTGCTCCGGGCAAACATGGGGAGTGGTAAGAATTTAAATTAATGCCACTTGTCCTTATTTGCAAAACGGCTGTGACATATTCATAAAAAGCAAGCTATAAAGCGTTAACTTAAGCTTCCAATATCTACTTCCATGTGTTTGTGCAATTTTTATTGATCTGATTCAGCATTCACTTAGTCTTTTTATCCTTTCCTTCCAATATGTTATCCAGGCCATGAGATCTTCACAGAGTTCCATAAAGCCGATATACATATCAATCGGTCACAGAATATCACTCCAGACCGCCACTGCGATTGTTCAGATGACTTGCAAGTACCGTATCCCTGAGCCTATTAGACAGGTGTGAAACAGTTTTCTATTTGAAAGAATGTGGTATCTACTTTATACATACATTTATTATCACAATCACAACTTACCGGTTGAGTTTAAAGAAAAGCATGAACCAGAACATAAAAAATGGAATATTATCCTCATTAGATGACAAAAGTTCAGTTTTTGATAGCTAGACAGACTGATACTGGTTCCCCAATTGCTGATTTTCCATCAATTAATTGTTCCACAAACTTTTTTTTTTCCTGATAAAAAGACCTATGAATACTTCTAATTATCAGTTTCTTGTACAAATTGAAGTATCCTTACATGTCTATTTGAACTTCAGGCTGATATAAGATCAAGAGACTACATTCGAAAGTTTGAAATGAATGCCAGACTGAAGCAAAATCACTGATATAGTACACTTTGACGACTTTTTAACTTTTCTCCATCACTTCTTATGCTAACACCAGAAATGTATTGTACTATTGCTTGTTACTAATTCTTTACTTTCACTGTGCTGCTGTTGAACATGTACAGTTTTTTTTTTTTCTAAAAGAAAATAATATAGATCCCTTTTAGAATAAAATGTTTGGTTAGCCATGGAATCCGAAGGTTTTTACCAATTTGCTAGGAGATTTTTAATCTCCTCAAACTTTGAAATATGAAAATATCAACACACACCAAGCCCGAAATTCATTATAACAAAGTCTATTCACCACCCTCATTCCACGATACCACCTCGGTTTCTAAGCATAGTATTGCTGCTGAAAGCGAGTAGAAGGCGAGAATGAAAGTCAATCGGAAGGAGAAATTTCAGGCAATGAAAGAACTTACTAATGAAGAAGATAATGAAACTGCTCAAGATATGTTGCAGCCAGTGCAAAATACAAAGAAAATGATGTCTTGAGCCAACTTCAATTAAAAGCAGTAGAAAATGGCAACACTTTGTTGGTAATTTAAGCCAAAAGAATGACAGTACAAAAACATCCTCTGGCAGAGTTAAGCTATAAGAGTAGTAAGATAACTTCAACTAAAAACTAAGCCAAAAAAACATATAAAAAACTTCTATTAGAGAGCTAAGCCACAAGGGTAGAGTTAGATTTCATTCTAATCAACAAAATTACCAAGAACATTTCAATATTAGAATTATGAATACTAGAATTAAAAGTTTGATTTATATATTTAATTAATTGAAGTAAAAAAATTTATTTATAAATATTAGAATTAAAATTTATATAACATGAATATAAATATAAATGAGATATTAAATAAAATAAATTTGAGGCATTTAGAGAGGATCAAGATTGGGTGGGTGACTTTGGGTCTTGGTGACTTTGGTAACTTTCCCTCTATCTCACTCTAAATCAATCATTATCTCTCATTGAATAAATTATTTTAAGTGCTCATTCATCTATAAAAACACTAAAATCACAATGTCTCAAAAATAGTAAAGTCACAAAAATAGTAAAGTCATTCAATCCTCTCCCATTTAAAGGAGGTTAGAATTCCGCATAATATCCGAAATTCAAAATTTAGATTATAATAGGGTACTGGCCGTCTACCTGTGCATCAGTAAGTATTATCGATAAATATTAATTTAAAAAAGTATAAAATATATTTGTATTAATTTTTTATTGAATTTTCTTTTCATTAAGAAAAATTAACAATAATTTAATAGTTGTATTTTATAAAAAAATAACTAGTTATATTCTTAACAAAATAAAAAAAATAGAATAATAATAAAATTTGTAAAATGTTAGAAATAGTGTCCTTTAAAATTTAATGTTAGAAATTTAATTTATAATCCATACAAAGCATCTAACACCATCAATAAAATTTAAATTTTTCTCTAATTCAAATAAAGACAATTTGATGCATCACTATATTTTTTATAAAAATTATTGTGTAATGTTCCAATATTTATTAAAGTTTGAAACTAAAATAATATTGCATTGGAAAATAAAAAGAAAATAAAAAAATAATAATAAAAACGATAAAATATATAAATATTATAATCTAGCATCCTCCATAACCCAAATTTCTCTAAAATACCAAAGTGTAATGTTTCAAATTTTATACCTACAAAATAAACATAACTAAAAATTAACAAACAATAATAAAATAAATAAAAATAGGAATCAAAATAATAAAGATTGAAAAAATAATAATGAATTTAATACTCTTTTTTCTTTAAATATTTTTTAAATAGGAATCATAAAAAAATATTTTATACTTCTTCAATGTCTTTTTTCTGCATAAAAAAATTAGTAATATTAATAAGTAATATTAGTAATTTTTTTAATATATAGATATAAATATATTTATTAGAAGAATTAGCAACAATAAAAATTCTAAAAGAAATAAAAATCTCTATACGGGACAACACCAATTCATATTAAAACTAACTCTATTTCACATTATGATTTCTTCAACACATTTTTTGCTAAAAATTGTATTTTAGGATGCTTCAAAATCACCTACAAATAAACATAACTATAATTAGTAAATAAAATAATATTTAAAATGAAAAAAATAGAAATTGAAAAAAATAAAAAATAAGTAAATAATTGAAATATAAAATGGAGAAGAACAACTACCTTAATAAAAAGTGAAACTTTTTATAATTCTTCAATGTCTTTTATCTGAATAAAAAAATTAGTAATATTAATAAGTAATATTAGTAATGTTTTAATATATAGATATAAATATTTTTATTAGAAGAATTAACAATAATAAGAATTCTAAAAGAAATAAAAACCTCTATACGGGACAACACCAATTCATATTGAAACTAACTCTATATCACATTATGATTTCTTCAACAAAATTTTCGCTGAAAATTATATTTTAGGATGCTTCAAAATCACCTACAAATAAACATAACTATAACTAGTAAATAAAATAATATTTAAAATAAAATAAAAATAAAAATTGAAAAATAAAAATAAATAAATAATTGAAATATAAAATAGAGAAGAACAATTACCTTAATAAAAAGTGAAAGCAACTCGTCAAAATAAAAGAAAAAATAGAATAAAATATAATGAGATGTAATGAGGTGATCATAATCTAAGCATGTGTAATAGAATAAACATATATATATTCATAAAAAGATATATTTGACGTAAAACTTAATGAAATTTTTAATTGAAGAATGTAAAATAAAAGTTAGACATAGAGAGGAAATCAACAATAATGTGTTTGTGTTTTTATTTTTAGAAAAGAAGAATATATTAAACCAAAACAAGGATATTACAAGAACACAAGTGAGATCAAACTAAAACCGTTTAAGAAAGAAGTCTAAGTAGTCTAAGTCTAGGGATACTATCCTTGCCAAGTAAAAAATCTCTAAGAATATCCCTATGAACAAAAGGAAGTCAAGTGAAAGTCTTATACTTGAGATCAAGGCTAGCCAAGATATCAACACAAAAATTGACCTCTCTATAAATGTGGGTGATCAAAAAATCTATCTTGAAAGTATACTCACCACATCTAAGCCAACGAGACTTGATGTACTAAGGCACAAGGTCCATGTTAGAAAAAGCTTTAACAACAAGAAGACAATCCGATTTAATCCAAAGCTTCTTCCAATTGAATTCTTTAACTTTTTCGATAGTCACCATAGCTACCGTAAATTCAACAATATCAACCCTTCATAAACCAATAAAGTCACAAAAGCTACCAATGTGGCAAGCATTGTCATCTCTGAAAATACCTCCACAAGAACTAACCTCGGGAGATCCTTTGACAAAACCATCAATATTGCATTTAATCCAACTCAAAGGAGGAGGAGTCCACAATACATCAATGGTGATCAAAGGTTTACCTGGGTGAATGTTGATGTCAAATCTTTTCAAAAGAGAAAAATTTGTAATCGAAGCATTGGACGGTTTGTTAGTGTTGTTTCCAATTAATTTAGCATGCGCCAAAATATTAATAATGCAACCTTTTCAATGAATCTTCTTGTCTTCAAATCTTCTCAAATTTCTGGCCCTCCAAATTTGAAAGAAAACATTAACTATGCAAGCAACCACCACATGAAACATTTGAGGGTTCCAGTTGACCGCAAGAAAATCATGGCAGTCTTGCAAATTGTGGACTAAAATATGAGTGTCAAGAATTGTCTGCAACCATTTCCAAATGTTTCTGGCATAAGAACAATTGAAAAAACAAGTGTTGCGATGTTTCTTGATAAAAATGGCACATATCGCAAACAAAAGGAAATAAAATCCCCGAAGGATTAATTTTTCATCTGTAGGAACCTTATCATAAATAAGTCTTCACGCCAACATGGATTTAGAGAGAGGAATATGAGCGTTCCAAGGGAATATATTCCAGGAACCCTTCAAGATAGGGCACTGAATAAAATCGAAAGCCTGTTTAAGGCTCATCTGCCCATTATCCAAATGCTTCCAGACAAGGATATCGCTATGGGGATTTTCATAATTCTTTAATTTTGACTGTTGGTGACTTTCTTTAATAAGGAAAGACCAATTAAGAGTGTTAAAAACCTTGGAAATGTCAATTTTCAGAGCCACGTTACCACTGAAACTTTTGTTATTCAGGATATTAATGACCTCAGAGGTGAGACAAATGCCATCCCTGATGTTCCTCCCCTTAATAAAGCCTTTTTACTCATTAGAGATCAAGGAGGGGCGAATAGAGGCAAGCCTATCAACAATAATTTTTGTTATAATTTTAAATTTAAAGTTACCAAGTACAATGAGTCGGTATTGACTAAGAGTACTAGCATAAGAAGTTATGGGGATTAAAACAATAGTGTTAGCGTTATAATTAGGAGGCATCCATCCCTACAAAAAGAATTGACACACATCATTAACCACATCATAACTAATTATGTCCCAGTAACGCTGAAAAAAGTGTTAGAACAAGATTAGTTCTGATCTATCTCAGAGTTTTGATGATAACAATAAATTATAGTTTAGATAATGTATACTCTGATGAACGTATTTGAATGTTTCAGATAATGTTCTGACAAGAAGCATTCTGAAGTGCTAAGCAAAAAAAAATTATGAAGAAGTTCTTTAATGAAAGAACCTTTTTGTTTTAAGCACACCTGTTGACTCTGGTAAGACATTTTATTTAAATATATCTTCTAATATTTAGCAGGTTTCCTTGCTCAGAAGATTACTTGAAAGCAAGCGCTGATCAAGTTCTTAGCAAGCAAAGCACTGCTTATAAGATGAAGTAAAGCATGTTCTGAAATCAAGATGTTGAAGCATGTTCTGAAACAAACATTAAAACCAACTTGTCTTGTCAAGCGTAGGAAACATGTTCTTACAAGATGTCGTTTGCTCATTAATACAAAGACGGCTGCAAGCACTCAAGTGTCTAAAGCTAGTTTCTTGGAAAATGGATTAGTGCAAGGAAACACGCAAGCATTTAATGCTC